ACATTTATTAGATTCTTATTTCATTTCTAGAAGCTCTGTTTTATCTCGAAGTCCCAAATGGTCCCTTGGTTCTTGGCTTGCTAACCTAACAATAATAATTTTCTATTAATATACCTTAAACTTACGAAAATATTACATAAAAACATTATTATATACAATTATATATTATTACATTATTATAAAATATTACATACAGAAACGTGATTGCACGCGCAAATCACAGCATACTGGCCGCCTGAAATATTCTGGAACGTTGTCATCTTCTCTCATGAACGATGCTAATCGCATTCCTTTATGGTCAAGGTTATCATAATATTAGCTAAGATAATTTCTTATCTTATAAATAAATATTGTGAGCGATTATCTCGTGGCACGTGTAACGGCGGGTTAAAGATATACTAAAACAATTTTTAATTGAAGGTGATTACTTGGCAACATCGTACTGAACGAAGCTCTTAACGATAACTTTTCAACGAAGTCGTATTGAAATTATCAATTTTGCAGAGGCGTACCAAAAAAAATTTTAAATATTTATTTAAACACATAAGTAATTACGTAAAAATTAAATCTAAGACCGATTTAATTATTAAATTATCATGTCTCTTTTAACAGGTATCTTATAGTTGTCTAACAAAATAAAATAAAATTTTATTCTTATTAGAGAGTATCTAATACAAAACTTCAAAAAACAGAAAACTTTGGAAAATAATTTTTTTTCATTAGACTAAAAATAATCTGCAATTTTAATTACATATCATTACACATCATTCTCTATTTACAGAATTGCTGTGTGCTGTAAACGTTATATTTGATTTTTTTTAACTTAATTTGAAAGTTTGCTTGTGTTTATTTGTTTATATAAATATGAAAATATATTATGAAGTGCATATAAATTAAAATGAAGCAAGCTAAACTATTATCATATAAATATTATCTTTAATATTAGCTTCCTAAATTGTTTAAATTGTCGCGCCATCTTTTTCTTGGTCTGCCAAAACTTCTTCGTCCATTTGGTGACTTATCTCGTGCTATTCGTACTATTCTATCCTCCCCCATTCTACTGATGTGTTTGTTCTACTTTTGTTTTCGTTTTGTCACCCATCCATTTATGTCTTCTATATTGCATGCTCTTTTTATGTTTGTGCTGCTCTCCCTATCCAACAGACTTCTCCTTGATATTCGTCGGAGTATTTTCATCTCTGTTGTTTCTAGCAGTCGTCTCGTTTTAGATGTGTCAGGTCTTGTCTCAGCCGTGTATGTTAATGTAGGTCTAATTCCTGCTTTATAGACTCTTGTTTTTGTGCCTTGTCTTAGGTGTTTGTTCTTTCAGATTGTGTCATTAAGAGAACCCGCCGCTTTACTTGCTTTTAAGCTTTGCTGTCGTACTTCTTCTTTAACATCTCCGTAACTAGTTATATCTATTCCCAGATATCTAACCCTTGCTTCCGGCTCTATTATTTTCCCATCAATTTCGATTTTACACCGTAGTGGGTATTTAAATGTCATACATTTGTATTTTTCCGCTGATATTATCATATTGTATTTTTTAGCTGTTGTATTGAAGATATGTGTTAATCTTTAGAGCTCGTCTTCTGTCTCGGCGATTAATGCGGCGTCGTCTGCATAACATAATATTTGGATTTCTTTGTTCCCAATTCTGTAGCCATGACTTTTACGTACTGCTTGTATTATTTCGTCCATTAATATATTAAAGAGAAGTGGGCTTAACGAGTCACTGTGTTAGTTTTCCATTTATCTTTGCCTGTATGCGATTATGGAGGTAGATGCTTTCGATGGTTTGTATAATATTGACTGGTATGTTCCTTTTATACAGTAGTTGTAAGACATCTTCGACTTTGATGCGATCGAAAGCGTTTGTCAGGTCTATAAAACTAGGATATGATGGCCTTTTCTGTGATTTGTCTTGGTACAAATACGGCGTCTACGCAGGATCATCCGGATCTGAATCCTTGTTGTTCATCTGATAAAGTTGTTAGTTTATTGATTTTATTGGTTAGGACTTTTGTGGTAAGCTTAAGTGCGGTGTTCAGTAGATTTATACCTCTATAATTGTTGGGGTCTTCTTTATCTCCTTTCTTGACCATTGTTATCATTTTGCTGTTTCTCCATGCGTCTGGTATCTTGCAGTGCAATATTAGTTTTTGTATAAGTTTTGTCATCTCTAGGGTTAAACTTTCTCATCCTTATTTTAGAAGCTCGTTGGTTATTCCGTCTGGGCCCGTATTTTCGAAACCGTTTGAACGGAAGTCGTATGGGAAAGATGATGAATTTCGAACGAAAATCGATGATTCGTATTTTCGAGTTGATTTCGAACGCATCGTATACGACGATTTTCGTACACGACTGCTCGAGTGGGTATTCACCATTCGAATAGCGGTAAACACACGGAGTTTGGCATTTCTGACTTTTGCATTTAGTTTGGTTTTTAATTATTTACATAAGTGAGATGGCCGACCTAAATTTTTTAATTGAAAGAAATGTTTTAAATGCCTTAGAAGATGCAGAAATGTTAGCGAATGTGGAGAATAGAGTATACCATGCATTTTTAAACCGTTTTGAAGCCTTATCAGACAAACAATTTGGGCTTGGACAAACATTACAAGGGCTATTTTTTACTTTTTATGCATGTTATAATAGGTATCAAGTTATACTTATCTACATTTTGCTTTCGTTACTTACCTTACGCCATTGTTTCCACTCTTTCTTTGCTCCTGGCAAAGCATTTAATATTTGCCCTAATTTCTGCCACATTGTTTGGGCAGTTTTATATGTAAAATTGTTTGTAAATTTCCCACTTTTTAAATCGGGATTTTCTTCCATAAAATCTATCAGTTCTTTTTTTTGTTCGGAAGATACAAATCCTCCGAACATGGAATTTTTATTTTCTTTTTCCATATTGGAAACAGAGAAAACAGATAAGTACGAAAACACAAGCCAAAACACGTTAACACTGTGTAGAAAATTGAGCAAATCACAAAAAACTAAAAAACTTCAAGTCTGCTGCAACAAGTAAAATAAACTTGTCAGTCAAATAAATGTCGCCTGTCACCTCTACCTCTTTTTTTTCTTAATTTCGTACGAATTTGCGGCGTTGCCGGTGAATTTGAATGTGTTCGAATTTATTCGCATGCGATTAGTTCGAACGAAAAAAAATCGTGCACGAACGCTGGTGACTTTCTATTTTTGAGTGAATTTATGACTATTTCTATTTCGTGAAAACTGATTTCTATTTCGTCTCTTAGTTCAGGTACGTTATTGTGTTGATTATTATTTTCCTTTGCTTTAAACAGTTCCGTCAGGTATCTTTCCCATTCGTTTGCTGATATATTATTGTATTCCTTGAAGAGATTGATGATAATATTATTTGTGAAGAATCAATAAAATCGGATATTGCAGGTACATATGAAATACAAGTGATTGGGAATTCTAACGATTCTGATTATGATATTCATCTGAACCACAGATATAACGCCCAAAGAAAAAACCAGGCAAAAATAGTAAATCAAAATTTATCTCAAGTTGTAATAACGGATATTCTTTCGTGCTTAGTAGTAATTCAACATCAGTCTGATTGATATTTAGACAATATAAAAGCCAACCATGTAGGCAAGTCATATATTGAAGTTTTTCACTCTTTTTGATAAAATAGTAATTGAGAATAACCGTCACAATTTTAAAATGAATAACATAGATTTAAAAAAATTATTAGCATATGTATATTATCTGCTTTACACTCTGCTTCAAGTTGATATGCATTGGTCAAAGGATGAAGATAAAGAAGTGCATATTATAAGAGAAAGCATGAACCGACATAGATTTATAATTTTAATTTATAATAGTGAAGAAACCGCTACATCAGTGTCAGTACATGGGCGTCAATCTAAATTTGCTTTACCGGATGAAACCAGATTCGACAATATTGGCCACAGTATAAAAAGAGACGATAGTGCAAAAATATAGGATGTACAAAAGTAATACTATTTATTTATGTAAAAAGTGTAGAATGCATCTACACCCCGAATATTTCGAAAATTTTTACCTTAAAATTTAATTTACGTTTGAGATACAATATGTTTCTCTATTAAAAATTGTACTGTTTTCCTTAAACATGAGAAAAAAAATCTTTTTGGTTGTAATTTATTCCTAATTTGTGTTTTTAATTTAATCTAATAAATTAATTATTAAATTTCTCTTTGTATATTGAGCGGCCGTTAAGGGTTTAATATTATATAAAGAATAAACTGGCCTCAAATTTACTTTACTTACCTCAAAACTATTTTAAAGTTAATAATAAAGTATATTTAATAAATATATTCCCAATAATACACTACGCCTATGTACCTATGTATAAAATCTGGAAGATATCATATTTCATAAACTTTAATAAACTAATATATCATATTTCTCTAATTAACATTCTTTCTAAAAACGTAAATATATATAGACCAGCAAAATATTTATAATTTTACCTATGTTCCAAACTATTCTATGAACTTATCTCACTATGCACTCGTGAATCGCACCAATTTATATTGTTACGGGGGCAAATTTATCTTAGATGGGTTACAAATTTACATATTTACATGGGCAAAACATACACAATAAAAATGACCCCGATAAGAATTTACTAATGAAATTTTTCATGGTTGCCGCTACCGTTTAGTTAAATTTGTAGATTAGTCACCTTTAATTGAAAATTGTCCGACTATAGTAACTAATATTAAAATACTACAAGAAAATAGCTTCAGAACAAAAATGAAAAGTTTTTTTATTTGAAGATTTAACTCTGTGTGAAAAACTAGATCTTAATTAATAATTGTTGTTTTTTTAGAATATTGTTGTGTCTTCGTAAATAGGGCAATCACATAAAATATATCATTACTTTCGTAGCTGATACTCGTATTTAGCGAAATTTGTACAATCTCTATCACATTAAATATAATTGTTTTTAAATAACGACTTTGTAAATTCTGTTTCAGGTAAATTTGATAGTGCTGGTATAGCTTCTGGTAGTCTAAATAACAGCATTGGCAAAATTTCATCGTTAAGACTGAATGTACATAGCGAAAGTGATAACTGGGCTATTTTAAGTGAGGTAATGTATTATCCCCTTAGTAAATGTTACAATATCTTATTTTTACAAGATTACAAATTTATTTAATTTTGTTTTCCTAAAAAAATAATAGATAAGATTTCCTACCCGAACAAAATAAGATTAGTTATCAACGAATGCAAGTTCGCAAGTGTAAAATTCTAGAGAACCCGGTTACATAACCGGAGAACTCCTGAAATATGGTACTAAAAGAACCCGTCACTGTTCTTATTTAAAGTCATCATCACCATCATCAGTAGCTCGACAACCCTTTCTGGGTCCTGGCTTGTTCTACGACTTTCCGCCATTCTGTTCTGTTCCTTGCTTTGTTTTTCCAGTTGGTAATCTTAAGTGTTTCCCTTTGACCTTCTCCCTACTGGTGTTTGCCTCATTAGTTTTGGTGTTTCAGTCTCCAACATCTATTCAACATGGCCCATCCGGCGCAGACGTCCAATCTTTATGGATGTTATGAACTCGGGTTCATTGTATGCTGTGTATGTATAGTTCAAAATTATATCTCTGCGCCCTATGTCATTTTCTTTCACCCCCTTATATATGTGTCTAAGGATTTTTCGTTTAAACGTACCTAATACATTCTCATCGCAGTGTCCATGTCTCTAATCCATATATATATATATATATATATATATATATAATATATATATATATATATATATATATATATATATATATATATATATATATATATTGTTGTATTTTTGAATGTCCATTAGCAATAAAAACCGATATACAAATTTTATTACTTAAATAAAAATTAAGATTATTGATATTTCATAAAGATACGGGCATATAAAGTTTCAAACATCCTGTATAAGACAAAATATGTATTTTAAGTTGTTCAAAGAATTGTTCATTAGGCCTCAGAGACAAGACTTTCAAATATTATCGATAAGAAATTTAAATAAGTCGGTTATTGTGAAATGGATTTACCCGTAATAAAAGTGTATATAGAAAGTGTTTAAACAATAGACCGGGATGTGCGGTGGTTTTTCCCCCCGAAAGATTATATCGGTAAAAGTTTATTAACAAAAGACATTGAATTGAGAAACAGGTATCGTTTGTAGCTATTAGTAAGAAATATTTGTAAAGCAGATAGATTTAGTTAGAATAATTAAAGAATGTTGTTTTCTGGAATTACCCGAATGACGTTTTAATAGAGAGAGTTGGTTGATAACGATATACGTCACAGAGGTAGAAGATTTTTATTGGTCAATTTTTGAATGCAAGGAGGGGTGGTTTTGGCTATGAGATAGGAGAGAGGAAAGGAGTCAGTTTTCGTCGCCCAAGAAGGAAGGAGCTTTGTGGTTTGTGTTTGTTTGAAGTCCCGAAGACGTAATTTACCGGGTGTGTTTATTTGCTGTGTAAAAGCTGATGAGTGTGAGGAACGGGGTACAGAGAGATAGAAAAACCAAAAGGTTATAAGAATATTAATAGCAGACGAAGCCGGAAACATTTGAAGTTATAAACAGGCGCGGAGATTGGTTCAAAAGGAGGCTGCATAGAATTACACGAGTTGTTGGGTTGCAGATACAAGGACAGAGAGGAGAAAGGTGTACGTCTTCTGGACCAAAATAGGAGCAGAAGCAGAGAATGGTTTTTTTTTATGGCGTGGCCATAGAATTGCAACGGCAGATAACGAAAGGTCAGTCAATTTTCATTAGAGCAGGAGTGTGGTTTTCATTTATAAATTAAATAAATTGAATAAATTATAGAGACAGTTAATTTTGCGATCATTTAAAAAAGAAAAAATTATAAAGAGAGCTTAGTTATAACACATATTAAAAATCAATGTAAAATAACATTTGGGTCCATGATAGAAAACAACTTCTCATATATTTAAAGTATTGTATTGCAAATATTACCGGATTGATTGTTATATAAAATTTCAATAAAATAAAGGACATCTCACATATACTTCAGTTGAAATTCTGTGTATTTTATTCAGGTCATATTACCTATCCCAATTAGGAAGCCAATTGGAAAATATTTTGAATCCACGATCAAAGGTAAATAGTACAAGTTAAATATCCTGAGATTGTAATTAATTAATGCTGATTTATTGTGATTAATTGGAGATTAGATCATTTAATAAATATAGACAGGATCTTTTCTAAATAAGCAATAGAATACAATTTAAATAGCATAACAAAATGGCCCCCAACGTGTAAAGCTTTGAAAAATATTTCTAGTTGGCAAATTTGAAAGGATAGGAGTAGACGAGCAGATATTTGAAAGTTTATATGCCGTGGATAAAGTGAAATATTATGTAAAATTTGAGGACATAAAGATTTATATATTTTTTTAAGATACAATTTACCATAATTGATTTATTCGTGATATTGACAATTTATAGGTTACCATAATTGATTTATTTGTGTGATATTTACATTTGATAATTTTACCATACTTGATTTATTTGATTGATTTTGACATTTGATATTTTACCATTTGATTTATTTGTGGGATATTGAAATTTGATACTCGTACTCAAGAGTTATTACATTTGAACAAGAAAAGTCCCGTTTGTTGCAACAGACCAGTAGAATTTTATATTTGGCGGGGATAAAAACAGAATAAATGCCAAACACAAGAAACAAGAGCAAAGAGAACAAAAAACAAGAAGATAAATCAGAACAGGAAGAATATTCAGACCAGGAAGACGTATTAGACACAACAGTAATGGAGACAGAAAAACAAGAATCGGGAATAGAAAAATTAATACAAATGATGCAACTCCAATCACAGAAGATGGATGAATCACAACAAAGAACGGAACAAAAATTGGATGAATCACAACAAAGAACGGAACAAAAATTGGACAAATTGGAAGAAAACCAAAGAAAAATGGAACAAAAAATGGAAACGCGTATGGACAAATATGAAAACGAGATAAAAGTCTGTTTAGAAAGAAGTAGGGAAGAAACAGAGAGGAAACTAGAATTGCAGAGAGAAGAAATCGAAACTAAAATGAAGGATATTCAGAGTATGCAAGAAAGGGAATTAGAACAGATAGAAATAAAATTTGAAAATGCGCTACAAGAAGACCGGAAAGAAACGGAAAGGAGATTTAAACAAATTGCAGAGATGGAGATAAGAGGAATAGAAAGAAAGGAAGTTATCGTACATAGCACAGAAGACGTAAAAGTACGATTTGGCGGGGATATAAGGAAACTACACCCAGTGCCTTTTATAAATATCCTAAAGGAAAAAGTCAAATACATAGGACCGTTTGCAACAGCAAAGGAAACCATCAGAAACCATCTCAAAGAAGAGGCAAATCTTTGGTTTGTCAGCAAGGAAGACGAATTTGACAATTGGCAAGATTTTGAGAGAAGATTCTTAAATTATTTCTGGGGAAAAATCCAACAACTACAAGTAAATAAAGAGTTACAAAATGGAAAATACCATGAGAGGATGGGCGTATCAGAAAAGATGTACGCATTACAACTCTATAATAATGCAAAACATTTGCAATATAATTATTCATCAGAACAATTGGTAGAGTTGATATCGCGACACTTTGAAGATACCTTGGAAGACCACATAAATCTCCAAAATTACAAGGACATTGATAGCTTATGTCAATTTTTGCAAATGAGAGAATCACGTAGGCATGAAAGAAGAGAAAGAAGACCGCAAGAAAATTATAGACAAAGAGAAAACCAAGAATATAGAGATAGAGGTCAAAATTTTAGAAGAGATTATCCAAGACGAGAATTCATACCTAGACGGGGATACGAAAATAGACCGAAAGGAAGCGAGAATTATGAACCCAGAACCCAGAGATGGAATGAAAACAGGGATCGGGAAAATCAGAGTAGAAATAACCGCCCATACCAAGGAAACAGATACAATAACCCACGGAATGAACAGGAATCTCGCGGTAACCGATACGGGAATGATAGACCAAAAGAGAACAGAAGAGAAATAAATAATATGCAAAGAGAAGAAAATGAATATGAGAGAGAAGATGACGGGCGAGAAAACACAGAAGAACAACAGGCGTGTTTTCAAGAAGGCGCTCACTAAAAACGAAGAAACAAACAGGAATTTTTTGTCACCCCAAGGAATTTATTAAACTGGCAGGAAACAATGAAAAGAGAAATGGAGTTAATTTAAAATTTGTGGATGGATTTATAAATGAGAAACCAATTAAAATTATGATAGACACAGGCTCTGAAATAACACTGGTCAACAGAAAATTAATCGAAGAAGTAAATTTAACAAGTCTAATTTATAAAATACCTAGGGTGAATTTAGTGGGCGCAAATAAACGGACATTGGCAACAATAAATGAAGGTATACGAGTAATGGTACGATTGAAAAAAGATATGTATGCACTTCAATGTGTAATAATGCCGAATATGTCACATGACATGATTGTAGGCGTTGACGAATTAACGGAAAAACATGTAGTGATCGACTTCAAAACCAATACGATGAAAATAACAAAGGAAAAAGAAGAAGAACAGGATAAGGAACAAGAGAAACAAATTACGGACGAATCAGAGAAAGAACAAACGGTGGAAATGAACCTGGTGACAAAGAAAGGAAAAGGAAGAAAGAGGGGAAAAGGTCAGAAAAAGATCAAAGAAAAAAAAACCTGGGATTCCTCAAAAGATGAGACGAGCTCAGGAGAAGAAGATGGAAAGAATTTGACAAGAAATGAAAGCAAAACTTGGGATTCCTAAAAAGAAGAGACGAGCCCAACAGAAGAAAAAAACAAAGGAAAATGAAGAGAACACAATGGAGACAGTGGTGTTTGAAAAAGACACGGAGTACACGGTGAATATGTGCGAAGAATTTGATGGGAGAGACACAAAATGGATATGTGGAGAAGGCAAAGAAAATGATTTGCGTAAAATTTTAAGAGACTATGAAACGCTGATAAATAAGGAAAACCGAGTGGCCACAAATACGTAGCATAAGTACAGTTAGCATACAGGAAGTGCGTTTTAGTTTGTCTCGAGAAAATTTAGTTG